GAACCATCGATTTTCTCGAAGGATTTTAAGTGAATTCGATTACTATTTTTTTTTCTAAATAACTATATGGAATCGTTTAAATTTTGTTTTAACAATTTTTTTAATTTTTTACCCCCACTTATATCTGGATGAATGAATACATACGCTTTGGATTTCAAATATTACCTACTCCAGCGGCGTATTTAGGAGGGATGTCTCGGGGGTTTCAACCCCCCCCCCCGATATTTTTTCTAGTACTATTCATTACTGAAGTATCGCAAAGTTTTGTTGACCAAAGATTACGAAATATTTTAAAACTACATTGAAAATGTCTACCATGGATTAATAATAATTGAAGATTACCAAACGATAATAATATTAGGTTTATGTGTACTACACGAATATATTGTGAATATACGAATATACAAAATTAATTAAACTGATATGGGAAATTACTCAGTAAATTTAAGTTTTAAATTTGTTTTAATTTGTTCATTCAAATCGTTTATATTTTATTCCTGTCATAATTTTATTGTAATCAAAAGTTTAAGTAGCAATCCTAAGGTTTTTTCACAAGAAAATTACCACTTATACGGTTTTAAGGTGTATTATAATCAGGTATGAATTCGTGATGAAGCTATGCTAATATTTGTGGAAAAATAGTATTGTCAGGAGTCAGGACACCTCCCAAAAGGCCCAAAATACGCCACTATGAGACCCCCCCCACTTTTTCGAACAAAGATTAATAATTTAGTTAGGAAGAGTTATTACATTTCGTATCAATTTTTAGATGATAATTTCATAACCTTTTTCTACTCCTCGAAACTGTTATAACTCATAAACGGTAAATTCAATATTAGCTTTATGTCTATACCGAAATATATACGTAAATGCCCTCTGCTTGAATCTATGCTCAAAAAGGGAGGGAGGTTACTATGTAAAATGTATAGGTGCTCATATCGGGATTATGAGTTAAAATTTAAAAATCCTAGTAAAATAAAGCTAAAACCATTTCATAATAATTATTTAAAAACAACAACAAAAAAAAAAAAAGAAAAGAAATCAGAAATCGAATTCACTGAAAACCCTTCGAGAAAATAATCACCGATTCGTGTAAGTCGATCGTTCTGTATAACAAAACAGATTACGTTTTGTTTTAATATAAACACGAAATACGCGCGCATCCTGTTTATAACATTATATTATAGAGTTTCGCAACGATCGATTAAATTAATGAAATGTACATTATTTCATCGGCGTCCCGTAAAACCGAAAATATGTAGGAGCTGGTTTTTGTTTTCGGATTATCGGCGAATATCATACATATTAAATTTAGAAACGCCGACGCCGCCGCAATAACAGAAGAAAAAAAAAACCAGTCACGCACATGTAATAGGTATTTGTCGGCATACACGCCACTGTTGCAGAGGGTCGGAAGTTGAAAAGGCGTACGTAGGATATAGTCCGCGTATTTAGTTTGAATAGATATTGTTGAAAACGATAACGATACAATTAACATTGTGTTTGATAAAAATAAAAAATAAGAAGACGATTCTGATAGTGGAGATCGCGATGCCGACCGTTAAAGTCTTTTTGTTTTATTTTACGTATCTGTGAACGAGCAAGCGGGGAACCGTGCAGAAGTAAACTAATTGTTTAAAAGTCAATCTTTATTTCCACGTGTGTTTGGACTTTCTAACCGGCGGGCGCGCTGTAGCCATTTTAGTTGTACAAAAAAATAATTATTATTATGCCATCAAACGCAATTATTTCCGGTTTTACGTCATGTACGTTTGTCGGTGATGTGTTTCTCCATAATAAAATCGAGTACTAGAGGAATTTAAACGGATTTTATACTGAAAAAAAAAAAATCTAACTTTCCCATATGTATTTTCTCTTTCTCGTAAACACAATAATATTATTGCGGATGCCCCCAACATCCCTCCCCCCCCCAAAAAAAAAAACAAAAACAAAACAATAGCCACTTAAAGTCAAAAATTTAAATCGCGCTTATTCGTTTCGATAATCTGCAGAAATAGATCGAAAACGAAAAGGCAGATATTTATGCGCTTTTGCACATACTTATCGGTCGGTCGAAAAAATGCAGATAATCTATACAGAAATGCGTTTCGCGGCCTATCGACTCCGGTGCACAACACCATTAGTCGGACGTTGTTTCGGCGCTTTTGGATTTTTGGCTCATGTTCCCGGGATTTCGTACGTTTTCAACGCGATTTTACGTGTTATTTATTATATTTTCGACATCAGATTTCAAAGACGCGGGATATTATCTTTAGTCTATTTCTGTACTGCACGTATACACACACACACATATATGTATATACATTCGAAGGTTTTCGATGTGCACGTACAATATTGTCCGCCGTAATGCCGGCGGCGGCTTTTGTTCGACGCGGTTGTCGAACGACGAACGGAAACGGCGTACGTATCGTTACGTGCGATTACGGCGGTTTACAATGGTGCGCGCAGCACGATCGCGATTTTCGGCCCGGCAACACACGTGGGCAACACGCGTCGGGGGACGTTCTCCTCGGGACGCCGCGTTGTGCTGCGCACGCACAGACGGGCCGCCGCCGACAAAAGGTCCGGGGTTTTCGCATTGCGCGCGGAGCGGACCGGCGCGCGCGCGCATACGCGACGGCATTAACTCGCCGAAATATCGCTGGCCCGTACGCATTATCGGGCCGTATATTATCGGTATTGTTCCCGCTGTCGTACGGCGACCGACGCGCACGTGTTTCTACGATTTTGGCGGCGTTTCGCCGATATTCGACGACCCACATTTAATATTTACCGTTACCTCCGCGAATCGCGCGGTGACGAAACCGCAGCTGCACAATACCCGGACGATACGGTACCGACGGTATCCCGTTCTCTCTGGCTCGGCCTTTATCCCGCAACGCGCGTCCGATTCGTACGCGGGGTACGTGCGGCGTCTTTTACAAGTGCGCGGCGCCGTTAAGATGGCCGCGGCCGCTGCAGCGCTCGCCGACCCCGTACGGCTCTCCCTACAACCGTCGGCGAGCCGAAACTTTCGTTTGAAATCGGTTTTATCCGCGAGACATTGCGGTTTTGCGTCGGACGACGACTGCGTATTCGAGGCTCGTCGGTGACGACGTCTTTTGGGACATGGGTTGTTTAAAAACATGCAGTTTTTTTTTTTTTTTTTTTTAGAAGAGAAAACACCGCGAAGAAATATTATACCTTTGACGACGGAGTTGAATAACATTGAGTTTAGAAAGAGTTGCATAACGCCGGCGGACTCATCTACGAACCGTTATCGTCTGACATTTTGATAACGGGCGTTCCGTTGTCGAAACCACCGTCAAGCGGGCGGGTCAGTCTTTTCGCGTGTTTTGCGGAAACGCGATTTTTTTTACTATGTATACTGTTGGCGGTTCGTTTAAGACACAGTATAAAATCGCAGTTTTCGTTTTTGAAATATCAACCTTGTCCCACGTGGTTTACGTTCACTCAACAGGGCCTGAAACAATGCGATTCAACGCGTTAAGTGTACGGCTCGAAATCGTTGTAAAAAAAAAAAAAAACCACCCACATTTTCGCGTTGCGATCTGGTTTTTAGTAACCCGGCGCGTATCGGCCCACCTAACCGTACACGTTTACGACGATTTATCGATCGTGTTTGTACGCATTTTCCTAGAATATTCTGTCGTATACGATGTATTTCACGGTTTTTTTTTTCTCCGAAAATCGTTAACAGCAGAAAAAATAAATAAACACATTTTCTTTCTCGCTATTTTTCGCGTTTTTACGGCATTATAGCGCCCGTTTCTAGTGATTCGCGTGGCATGTTGTGGCGCGTATTCCGGTTACTCTGAGCGCGATAAAATCCGAGCCCCGAGAACCCACGACAATACAACGGCAACGGAACGCGCGAAAACCGAGAGTATCTCGCCGGCATCCCGCAAAGTCCGCGAAACGGAGACGACCGCCGCCGCCGCCGCAGCTATTATGAGCGGCTATTGTCATCATTGTTGTCATTATTGTGCCGTCGTGTGTCGTAGGCGCGCGGTTACCGTTATGCCGTTATAATATCACCGTAGACTACCCCGCGCAAAATATTACACTGCCGCGCGTTACGGGGGCGCGTTAACGGTTTTCTGCGGGCCGACCACCGGAGATACCGTAACCGTTACGCGGCGCGCCCGTACGGTAGCTATTGTCGGGTTTTTCGTGCACGCACACCGCGACAATGCGATTTTCCGTGTTGTAACGTGCGGGGCGAGAACACCCGGGCCGCAGCGCCGTGAATACGCGACCGGAGATAATACATCGCGACCGCGCCCGATGACAACGGGTTGGCCCGCGACTCGTCGCCGTTCCCCGCGCACACGACGGCCGCAAGATAAATAACGCGCTGCGATAATGGTAACGCGCGCGGCTACCGCCGGTCCGCGAAACGCGACGGCCGCGGTAGCCCAGCGCCGTCCTCCTCCGGGTTCGGCGGGACGCGATAATTTATGTGATCCGAGGTTACCTGCCCGCGCGCTCGCGGCGGCCGTTGGCGCGTCACGTCCTCCCGCCCGCGCCGGCGACAACGCGGGCGTCTGTACGCGGAGGAGCGCGCGCGATTCGCCGCCGCCGCCGCCGTTTCACCGACCGCGCGCGGGCGCAGCGGTACGTAATCGCGCCCGGCGTGACCGAAACGTTATTATTGTCGGTGCTGTTGTCATTGTTGTTGTTGCCGATCGCCGCTGTTGTACGCGATATGGGCGTGAATCCGGATCGTTGTCCGGGGGAAACACACGCGCGTGACATTGCGACGTCGCGATTGAATCGTCGTCGCCGTTAACACCGGGAGCGAGACCGCGCCGAAAACCGCGCGCCGGATTCGCGTATTGTTACGATAATATTACGGCGCGCATTATCGCTGTTGCGGGTACGCCCATCGCCACCCCGAAAGTCGGTCGCGCCGAAACCAGCTACGGCACGTAACATAATGTGTATATAGCGCGTGTGCGTGTGCGTGCGTGTGCGTGTGCGTGTGTGTGCGTGTGTGCGTGTGCGTGTGTGCGTGCGTGTAACGTGCGACGGACACACACACACACACACACACACACACACACAGCGCAATATCGCGCGGGACGGCGGTCGCGTCGCCGAAATCGTTTTTTACGCCGCGTGTCAATACGACGGAAACGACAGATAATACGTATTGCCTAGGTACACCCTAGGCAATAAAAATGCGTGCATGACAATTAACCGTGTCCGCGTTGTGTGTTTTATCGCGCCCGATACCTGCGCGTCGCGTTTTATTGTATTCGGCGGTTAAAGCGGGAACGACTACGGAGGACTGTATGTATTACATATAATTCATCGAAAATCTAGGGGCGTTCCCGAGAACCGGCTAAACGAAACGAAACTTTCAGACATCTAAAATGTTTTTCTCACACGCCGTCGTTGTTCGTACAAAATGCTATGCCGATAGGGTACGAGAACGAACTGCGCCCCTCCGCACGTGCACTGCGTGCGTGTACAGGACGAATGTTCGGTCCGGCAGATGTCTGTTCAGTAAAAATTTAAGGACGAGGTAAAAGACGGTATGGTTTCGTGTAATCCAATCGGATTAACTATTGAAGAATTTGTTTTAATAATATTAATTTGAGTTTTTAAAAACTAGTCATTAAAAATGCGATACGTGACAATGACAAAGTCCCCCCACACTCAGATTTTGAAAAATTAACCAAAGGGGATCGATAATTTCGCCTTAACTTAGAAGTTGGGGAGCGGTAATTATGTCACGATAGATCTTGTTCTAATCAATCGAACAAGATCAAAACGAAATTTACAGTTTCGTAAATTAACATATCCCTTTAAAATCCGTCCGCAGTATTATTTAGACTTGTGACGTTTTATAAACACTATAAGCCATGCAATTGAACGTGAAACGTCCGTATTTTGAGACACGCATAGTATTTTACGGCCGTATTATTTAAAACTACTCAAAGAATCGATATCGATTTTTATTCTAGGTATACAATATATACATATGTATAACAAATACACGCGAAATAAAACGGAATACTATTATTCTAGATTTTACTATCGAACTATTCGATAGTTTCTATAGATCTAATGGGTCCATCGCTATTGCTAAACCATTACTGTATTAGCACGAGCCGGTACACAACACGGTGTTTATATTGTGATAACGTGTTATCTATAAAAACTGATAAATTCAATACCGGATACATATTTTTGGCGAAAAAATAATATGAGAATACGCTATCGATACACCGCGTACTCGTACGATTACATTACAGTTCGTTTCAAACCGACATCCGAATGGACAGTGTGTTTTCTCAATATCGATATTATTCGACAATAATATAATTATTGTTATTTTCACGCCAAATGAACGTTATTGTGTTTACACCGGATATTTTTTAACCGTGTCGTACACATATATATATATATATATATTATGATTATTGCCGTTAAAACAACGCGTGTGTAAAATCGACGATGGACTTTATCCAAACACACATAACACGGGTGTAGAACATTTTACCAGGACGAATCGTCAGAATAATATTATAATATATGTGGCGTGTAAAAACCGACCGCGGTATTATCATAATCCTAGACGAGGGTATTGTACCCGTAAATCATTAGTTTTCAAAAAAAAAAACGAGCGAGCGCAGACACTTAAAACAACACATTATATCGGATTCCGAGGCTAACTATTGTGTCATATAGGTACATATAATAATATTATCATTTATACCGCTAGCGTTCAAGTCTCCGGGGTCGGTGCTTTAGTTATGGCATTAGGCATTCGCACGATACTCTAGTAAAAACATGTTTACATTTTTCCGGTTGCGGGTTTATTTTTGATGGCGAAACAGTAAAACATATAAATGTTTTATTGCTACGGATCAGCAGTGCGGACGGACGACACCAGTTATAAAACGATCGCTTTTAGATACGAATACAGTCTAATATAATATTATGCCGTTAAGAGGACGTCACACACTCGTTATCGCTTATCACTAGTCTTACGAACGCTCGACAATTTACGTTTTGCAAAATCTGCAATTTCGCGCCGTTAGTTTTGATACGATGACCTTATTATTAGCGAACTTAGCGTTAGTACGTTGGTTTTTTTTCTCCGATATTTTAACCTAACCTCTGAACGATTTCAAAGAGATTTTATGCGAGGAAATATCGCATTATTTAGACACGCTTAACGATCGTTTAAAAACTATGCTGATGATGCTCTTATACCGCTGAGTTTGATATAATAGGTCGTTTAAATAATGTATGTTACAAATTGATAGCACAAAATCGCTTCTACGTGTGCCGAACGAAAATTCGCCATGTGACCCGCCGCAAATATGCGGGCGACGTCCTAATAATACAATAAAATATACGCGCTATCGATTATACGGATAGAAAAAAAAAAAAAAAAAAAATTAAAAATGTTATATTTTCAACAAAACAACCACGGCGCTCACAATATTCCACGCGTCTGAATCATTCGTAATAGTAAAAGAAAACTCCATATCTATGTACTATATTATTTATACTCGTATTATTTTAGTCGTTGCGTCAATCGACAGCCAATAACCGTTAAAACCCACGCGGTCGGCTGAAAACAGCTGTTGCAAAAACTAATCTCGTTAAAATAATATTATAGTATCGAGTTTAAAAAGAATTAGAGGTAAACGAATAGGTATCAGAATCGTTTGTTTGGAAAAGGGTAATAATGTACTCACGTCACATCACAACGGCCGTCGCGGATTTCAATCTCTTTATGTTGAGTGGTTTTTTTTATTTTTTTTTTTTTATTTTTTTCAGGGCTCCCTCCGCGCAAATACGTATGAAAACGCGTCTTTGTCGACGGTTATTACAATGTTACCAATATTTCAAATGAGAATATTCGAAATACGTACGCAAATATCCGTGGAAAAAATTCTGAAATATGTTAAATATGCAAGAAACTGTTCAGTTTATTATACGAAAACATATAGTGTCATTATTAATATGCACAAAAGAGATAGAGATTAAATACGAATCGCACCGTTATCGTTGAATTAATAATAATAGACTGAGACGGTAAGAAATAGCAATAAATAACTACGTTCAACAATATTGAGTTTTAAATTTAATACTATTTAAAATAAATTGATTAAAAGAGAGAGAGAAAAAAAAATCAATTTTTTTAGAAAATATTAAATATGGCATAATACGAAAATCAATGAAAATTTGCATTTTTTTCTCTGAAATTAACAAAATACGCATTTTAAATGTTCGGTTTTTAAACTCTCCGTCGTACAGAAAGTATTTCTTCTTCTAGTTTGGTCCGCTAGAAATTCAGCGCGCACAGTAAAATATACAACTCCCATAACTTCCGAGCCCCGTAGTAATTATATTAGAACTAACAAACCTGTAATAATACCTGTAAAGTCGTGTACAGTGGGCAATGCCGTGTACGAGTAGTTGTATTGCTTTACGCGATAAACACCGTCAAAAAGTGTTTTGCCGTTTTTCGCAAAACGGTTTTTGTTTTTTTTTTTTTTCTGTTTCCCGGAAAACCGTGAAATTTGATAGACGCCCTTTTCGCGAAACACCGCCGATATACGTATACCTGCGTAACGTGTACGCACGGGTACAGGTGCACGGCGGCGAAACGGGGTCGGACAAAATTCTGTAACACGCATATATACTACTCTGTATCGGTTTACCCAGTACATTACGGTCGTGACGCGTGATTTATACGGACTATTAAATTTGAAAGACTATTTTATTATTATTTTTATTTTTTTTTTCTGTATAAACGAAAACAACGAAAATCTAACGTGTATAATCATAATAATACATTAACGCGGGGCGCGCGCATATTAAGCCTAAACGATGTCGAAAAAAAACCGTCCATAATTGAATTGTAATCCGTCTGGTGATTTCGAATAGTCGTGAGTATACCTGTATAATAATATATACGTCTGTATATTTTTTATTACAAACGGACACGGAACGGCAAAAAAGATTGTTACGTTATTAAGTACCAAGACATTACAACCGGGTTGACACACGCACGGGGACCTGTTTTTAAACATCTCCCGTCTCCGCGTACTTCTACTACCGACAACGTTAATTCACGCAACAGTACGGGTACGCGAAGGGTAAAAAAATAAAAATAAAGACCCCCGCTCATTATCGGATATATTATTATAGACGTGTTGTCACTGCGGCGTTAAATCTCCCGTAAAAAAAAAAAAAATATATCGGTATACACAGTGGACGTCGCGAGAGTTTTCGAACCTATAATCCCTTCGGGGGAGGGGGGACGGGGGACGGTTATCTATTTATTCTGATTCGGTCTCGTACGTAGTTCCGCAGTCACTGATGTGTATACGCACGCAGACACGTTGTTATTGTATAATAGTATATGTGTGTGTATATGTATGCATATATATTTTATCCCGGCATCCGAATGAAGAGTTTTTTTTTTTTTTTTTTTAATATCTCGAAAACAGGTCCGGCAACGATTATTTATAACGTGGGGATTATCGATCCGATGGCGACCGTTTTTTTTTATTATTATTATTATTCGTGTATAATTGTACACGGTATAAACGTTATGACATCTTGATCTTTTTTCTCGTTTTAATTTATCGCGGCGGTTCGACGTACACCCGGTGATGCAGGCAGTCGCGGGCTTATGACAGTATCGTTATTGTCGGCCCCAGAAATGGCGAGGACATTAAATGTTTCGCAGCGGTCTGCGTATCACGTAACGTACACACGTAACTACGCGTCGGATTTGCGCGCGAACGCTGACGATCGTTCTAATAACAGCACAACTTACATGCATATTATGATATTACCATAATCTCGCGCATGCGGACGAGAAGAAAACAACACGTCCGAACAGTATTTCAGAATTAAATATTGTAATGCCGAAGAAAAAAACGAAAACAATAAAAATAATATATAATACAAAAAAAAAAAAAAAAAAACACACACACACACAGCCGTGATGAGCACCGGAGTTTCGCGACTGCTATAATTATGGGGACATCATAGTGTATGATCTTTCGCGCAAGCTTTTGTTGGATTTAATA